GATTTTGTTCAACGTGTTCAAGGCCAGGCTGGATGGAAACCCAGTCTAGTGGAAGGTGTTCCTGTCCACAGCAGGGGGTTGGAACTAAATGATCTTTAAGGTCTCTTCCAATCCTTTCAGCTCACAGAAGAGCTGAAAGACAGCTTAGGTAGCTCTAAAATGTATCACCTCTTCTTGAACACTTGTATAATGCTTAGAAATCTAAGCTGTCCCAACATTTAGCCCATGAGGTTTATGATCCAGCTCTGATAAGGCTGGAGTTCTGTAAATCTAAATTTATAGCACAGGTAAGGCACCTGACTGGGCTGTAATAAGGGCTGGTGCTTCCATGAATTCTCAAGTTACACATATATTATTGACATTATGCGCACCACTGTGCTCAGGAATGGTTTGAGACAGTGTTAGTCAGACCCGGCAAAAAAACACCAGAAATACTGCAAATAAAGAGCAGCACAGGTAGCAAATGCCTGTGCCCTGGCACTACTTCTATTTGCTAATATTAATATATTTGAGGTTATTTGAAGTTATCAATATAACTTCAACAGCACATTGATAACTGAAGTTATCAATATAACTTCTCTGCAGTAATATCCTCCAAAATATATTGAAGAGGGAGGAATGTTGAATGAAGCAAACATAATACAGCCCTGGTTCAGATAGTGCACAACAATTGCTGCTACAAATTTAAGGCTCTACAGAATTGTCTGCTCCTGATCAAACAATATTGGAAAATCATTCTTCATGGAGAATTGAGTTTTCTGAATTCAGGTTGGATGGACATCTCAGAGAGCAGCTGCACCAACACTGTTGTACCAAGGGTGTAGAGAAGCCTCTTTTTTTGCATAAAGTTGTGCAAAATTCAGCAGTTTTCAGGCTCACTGGCAGCTCCTTTGAAGATTTCCCCTGTTTTATGCTTTATGTGAACTTTGAGTTTGGAGTTTGAGCAAGCCCAGCACTTCTGATCCCTTCACGGGGACTATCCTGTACTTCAGGTTGGACACATGTTTACAGGTCTTGATGAATTCGGACTCAGCAGAAAAACTTCAGACAGAACTGTGGGCTTGAAGATTTAAAACAGAGGAAACAGGAAGAACTGCTTCAAACTGACCTGTGCCAGTCTGTGAACTCTGGTCTTAATAATTAACACTGAGTAAGTAACATCAGAAGCCAGTGGAGCGCATAACTCCATGCTCAAAAGCTGCAGGGTAATTTATTCCTAAAGAAAACTCCATTTCACCCCAAGATAGTAGTGCTGGATCAGATTCCACTGTATGGATCAGATGTTATAGCTTTTCAAAAAGTCTTTCGCTATCTTAGTACTTATTTAAATAATAGAGATTTGTGTGATTCCTCTGAATTTTTATAGTCATAAAAAAATCTCTTTTTCTTTCAGACATGATGTCATAGAAACATAAAATGGTATGGGCTGGAAGGGACCTTAGAGGCCATCTAGTTCCAATCCCCTGTCATGGACAGGGATATCTTCCACTAGACCACGTTGCTCCAAGCCCCATCCAAACTTCGAACACTTTTGATATGGCATAGGGATATACATAAAAGTAAAAAATACCAACTTATCATCTTCTTGTTTCTATGCTGCCTTTGTTATGATTTACAAGGCAAAATTTCTGAACCTCTTCTTGTTGTATTAAATCTGAATGAACAACAGAAAACCATATGAGCTTTCCTATGATCAAAAATCTGCTCATATTTGATAGTGGTTCAAAAACATATTATTTTTATGCTAAAAACCTTCACAAAACCTTATCAGAGATTCTAGAGAAAGGTTTTGACTTATTCTTGCCAAATAAAATACTTTGGTCCCATACCCATGTAGAGAATTCTACAGCATAGAAACAGAGGATTTACTGGGGAAAAAAACAGTGTTCTAGAATAAAGGTATAAATGAAGATGAAAAGTTCACTATTGAACAAGTATATAGATAGATAACATCTAACATATAGGTGCTATAAAACTTGTGATGACTGTATGGAGTCACTGCTTCAGACCTATGTCTCCTCTGCTACAGACCTATTTGTAGAGCACCAACAGCTCTTGGGCATTTTGGTCATAAATAACATTAATTTCATATGTATAATCAGGACCAGCCACTTATTAAGACAATCAAGCTTTCTCTGTGTGTTGGGGTACCAAGAATTTCTTCCACTTCTCTCATCCCCAGCTGATCAGGTCCAATTTCCTGTGACACAGGTTGGTTCAGTTTGAGGGTCATTCCTCAGAGAAACACAGAGAAACCCAGTGGTTTGTCACCAGTCAGTGTTGGAAACCTGACACAGAAAATAGTTAATGCTCCTGGAAAACATGGTGAATCATATCCTCACACCTTCTCTGGCATTTAAAACAGACTTAAATGCCTTCTGTGATATTTGGAGCATCTCATGGATGCCCCATCCCTGGAATTGTTCAAGGCCCTGTTGAATGGGGCTTGGAGCAATCTGGTCTAGTGGAAGGTGTCCCTGCCCATGGTTCAGTTGGGGTTGGAGTAAAATGAGCTTTAATGTCCCTTCCAACTCAAACCATTCTATGATTCTATGGTTCTATGGGACGCAATCTCAGGAAGACAAATTTTGGCAGAAGGGGTTGGGATGACCTAGGAGTGAAGGTTGCTGGATTTAGGGGAAAGGAATAATGATTTTTTTGCCTACACTCTATTCAGCTGTTTACAGTATAAATGTCTAGCGTGGTTGGACAAGCTCCCACTCAGCTGGAGATCTAGACCAGACTGTTCAGTCAGTGAAGTTTAGAGAGAAATTTAAGCCACACTGATGTAGGTGTCTGTGTTAGACCTGCTTAACCGTAATGCAGATTTCCCAGGCTATACAGGCCTGAGATGCCCAGAGACCATAGCAGAAGATACACAGCTGGCTGAAATGGAGGCACCTGCATGTAGGAGAGTAGACTTAGAGGTCTGGGTCAGGAGCTGATCTGACCTCAACATCTCTGCACTAGATGGAAAAGGAATATGGTCTGAGCTCAGTGTCTGGGCCTGTCAGCACTCATCATTCCACAAGCACAATCAGAGAGGACTGATTTAAATCCAGGGAAGTGTCTGTGTAGGATCAAGACCTGTACTTGTCCAGGTGCCCATCTTCAGTCCAACACTCAGTGCCCACAGCAGATTGAAAGAAAGGACTGAATGATCCAGGAGCTGCCTGCAGAAGCTTTGTACTCCTACCTACTGAAGTGCAGCAGAGAAAGAAGGATGGGAGCTGTACCAGTTGACAGCTTTAGTAGCTGAAGCATTCAGCATTTTATCCTGACTGCTATTTCTTTTTTAAACACAGGAATCCCTGGGGTTTAGCTACCTTATATCACATGTACTCTATGTGGATGTTACAGGGAATTATCTTTTTTTCCGCAAGCTTAGGTAGCCCATTAAAATCCCTCTATGAGTATTCTGCATAAATAAGTGTAGTCAGGTGTTTTGGAGTGTGTATATATAAGGGAAAGTATAATACACCCAAGTGGTATGTGTGTGCCTGTGCATGAGAATAGAAGTGGGGTAGTCTAGGTGTGATTGCATATGCATAGGATGCACAGATGTGTAAGAATAAACAGGCATGTGTGTATTTGTGGACCAGGAATTACCTTTGCCTCTCCCCACACCCCAACAGCTGGACGGAAGAAGTGGGATGGTGGGTATTTTGGATTCTATTCAAAGTCTGAGGGACTAAACATTAGTTTAAACATTAGTATGTGGCTGCTGGGTGCCTCATGCTCTATCAGAATCTTAATAACTAGCAGATGTTTGGATATTGGGACACAGAAGTTGTCTGCCCAGCCAATGGAAAAAGAGTGGCTCAGCTGGCTGTGCCAGAGAATATACAACAGTCTTTATAGGACTATATAGGACTATAAAATCTGCTTGGTGTTATATTCTGTAAACAACACTCTGGAACAATCCTTTACGTGATGGTTTTTTCATATATCAGCTAATTAATGAAAAAAACCAAAAATCTGTAGCCTCATCTAGTTATGTATTCTCCTCTGTGGTCTGAGCAAAGACGGGAGCACCTCTAGGACGTTTCATCAAACTTATCTTTGATAAATATCTTAGATGACCCCTATTTCAAAGTGGCCCTCTGGAAGTTCCCACCTCACTCTTCACTTTATCTAACACGTTGCCTAAAGCAAAAAAAACAGGAAATTGCACTGCAACTCCTGGGCTAATAAATCTTTCTGATCCCAAAACATCTACACACTTTTATCCACAACTTGGATAAAAGTCTGATGAAATTTGGAGTTGGCGTGCATGTGCCATGGGTTTTTGTCTTCATAAGAGCTTCTTAGGCTGTTTAAACCAGTACATTAAATATTTCTAGGGCACAGGCCCAGGAGCTTGGGCTAAATATAGTAGCAATCTCTGGCTTTTTAGTCTGAGCCAGCTTTCATTCTCCCAGACTTTTCCAGGGTGTTGCTTAGTAAATTAGTGAATTAGTGCAGTAAAACTATTTTAGTCAGTAATATACTTTGAGACCAGTCTGCTTCAGAAGCCAAAGGGTTAATAGTATGATCATGGTAAGATGATGTCAAATGGTCTCAGTGGCATAGAAGAGGTTCTGGAACTATTTAGTTAATTGTGAAGGATGCAGTCTGTTCCTCCTTTTATTTCTACTTTAATTTATATTGGCTCTGAACTTGAGTTTCTACACTTCTGGACCATCCACTTGTGACCTGTGACTTGGGTCACACTCAGAGCAAGACAACTTTCTGGACAGATGAAGGTACTTGGCCAGTAGATGTGGAAAATTACTCTACCCAGACTGTGGTCCTAGAAGCAGGTTGAACGCAGTGAGCTTGAAAACTACACTGCTGGGCAAACCTGCACTTTTTATAGGCACAGATACCAGGGATTATGGATGTTAATTGTTTATTTGGATGTCTTTTAAGCAAGAGAACAAACACTATCAAAACATCACATGCAGTCTTTATCAAAATTATGGATTTTAGTTAATTTAGTTCCTCTTTCAAAATCATACCTGAAATGTGTTAAATGTCTCTGGATGTCGAGGTCTAATATTGGAGTCGGTCTGGAGGATCCGAGGGGTGATCTGTCTTGACTTAGAAGGTCTTGGAATTCTTTACATATTTGTCTATATGGAAAAATAGAAATCCTTAAATAAGACAGGTGTAATCCTTTCCTCAGAGGTGATTCCCATAACATTGTCACCTTATCCTGAGTGATCTCATTCATAACAGAATTCCTTGGCAGAAGTACTGTTACAGAAACTAAGGGCAAACAAATCCATCTCTTGCTTCCCAGCCGCAAATGCTCAGAGCAAACAACACACAGAATCTCTTGAACAGGAATAGTTCCCCTCTGGAAGCATATTAACTCTGACATTTTAAAATGTGATTTTTCTCTTGAACTAGCCCCAGTTTGGCAGTGTTAAGCCTGGCTTAGCTCATGTACATTTGAAGCAAGGTTTATAGTTTAAGAAAATGCTGAACTAGCATTAGAAAATGCCTGAAATGTTTGAATTGCTTTATTATTTACTTTGTGTAAACACACCAATACTTGTACATTTGCTTGTGTGCACCGGTTTATCTGCAAGTTGAAGTCCTGGATATTTTGAATTTGCATTCTTGATCCCCAACCCTTAAGACAAATTGAGCAGTAGGAGTTCTGAAGGAAAGACCTCTTGTAGTGGGAATTCAGGCTCTGTCTTGTCTGGTCTCCCACCAGCATTGAAACCCAGCTTCTCTGTAAAGAATGGATGGTCTTATTGTCTTCCCTCTCAAGCCTTCCCTCCGGCTTCTCAGGATGCCTCAGCACCTGAGGGTTAAATTTATCCCCTGGGATTCCTCAATATAGGACCTAACACTAGGAAAGACCTAAGACAATAAGGCCTTTTCATTCCTGTGATGTTGTTGCATTGGGCCAGTTTGCAAATTAGCTTAGGAATATTCTACCAATATACTTTAAAAAAACCCAAACAAAATCAGCTCCATTTATCCTCAGCAGAATATTATATGGACCATGGATGACTAGACATCATTAACTTTCACTTGGTTTATGATACAGTTAACTAAAAAGGGAAATTATTTCTCCATTGCCTGTATTGGAAATATAGGCATTGATAGGGGGGCAGGAGGGCATGATCACCTCCAGATGATCAGGACATTCAGTTAGGTTGCCTGATACTAGTTGGATTGACTTAATACTAGTCACAGTGACTACATTTAACCTAGTAACAGTGCCACCCAGGGAAGTACAGAGTGCCAGGGGTCGTCCTCATACCTGCAAGCAATTTGTCATCATCTGATGTCAGCATAGTTATGCTTCTCTAGTCTCCTAAACCCTGTGGCTTCCTGAGAATAGACCCTGGTGTGGGCTATGTCACAGAACATGCCCAGAAGATGTTTGGGAGAATTCAATGAGCCATTCTAACATTTTAATAGCATGGACAATTGGAATCTGATGAGTCAGTGTGTGTGTGTGGTTTACTTTGTTAGCATAGATGGAATCCTTGTGCCTGGGGCCAGTTTCTAATACTAAAGAGCACCTCTGTGGTCGTGATTTCTGTTAGAAGACTCATTGCACATCTGGTCCTAGAAAAATTTGGGTTCTTCATTGTAACTCTTGTCTTTTGGGACAGGAGTATAATGGAAGAAGTGAGTAAATTCAGCTTCTAGGTCTTTAGAAGGTCCTTCATTGCTGAGTTACCAGCAAGAAAATACTAAACTTGTTTTACCCTTCACTATATCACTGTTGTACAAGTTGGGGATACAGACCTTGAATACTACAGCTCTCTCTTGACTAAGAGGAGAGGAGATGCAGAAACCTATTTCCTGCTGTGCTGCTGGACCCCATCCAAGCCTGATTTCTGCAAATGCTTGTCATCTGTATGAACCCAGACACTGACTGCTTGAAAAGACAGCATCATCTTAGCCTTTCAGACAAAGAGAGGTATTCAGCAGAAATGTATGTAAATGCAGCATACAGTTTTAATGAATCAGGTCCTTAGAGGAAAAACAGTTCCTTTCAACAACTGAAAACAGTCAGTCATTTTGGCTTCTAAACAATCTACTATCCCCAGTCGGCCCTGTCAGCACTGCTCTTCTCTCCTTCCTCCAACCTTTACTTTCTACCTGTTGAGAAAGTTCATCTTAAAAGTTCTTTTATTTTGACAAAGGAAAGTGTCAGAACCAAGTGTGCAATTAAGTTCCCTTCTATCTTCACATGTCAAAAGTCTTTACTGAATGTTGGCAGCTAGAAAGAAAAGAAAAAACTTTTTTATTATACATGAAAACCTGTAAAAGGCAGTAACCTAGTTTTTGTGGGTTTTTTCAAGGGGATTTCTAGGCAAAGTGGTGTCTCAGGGCCTCCACTACCAGTAAAACATCACCCGGGGTAGTGACAGGGAGAGGGGCTGACAGTTATTTGCTGAGCTGGACTGTGACTGAAAAAGCAAAGAAAGATGATTGTGCTGCCCTAGGGAGAACAGATTAATTACAATAAGTCCTGGCCACTCCTTCAGGGGAGACATCTAATGATTTGTGATACATGGTTAGATGATCCAGTAAGCCAAATAAGAGATAAAAAATTCTGTACTGGGTCAGAACAAGAGCCCACCCAGTCCATGATCCCTATCAGTGACCAAAGAAAATGCCTTGTGTTGAGTACAAGAGTGGGGCAAATGTGAACCCTTGAGTCTGATTTATTCCTGGTAGAGTTTCCAGAGTTTCCACCCAAGAACCAGATATCAGAAAAGTGTCGTGAGTCAGATATTGACTATTCTGTGTTGGCTGTAATCAATTCTACAATAAAATCATTATTCACAGTATTCTGTTTTGGTCTATGTACATATGTGTCTATCCCTGCCTCTGTCTCATGTGGAAGACTGTGCTGTGAAGAGAGTATTGCCTTAAGCTCAGTGGCCTCCATGTGTTAAAGAGGGCTGTTGGCACCTAAAGCAGCAACCTTTAGCCTTCACTAGCCCCTGGGCCACAGTTCTGAGCATGGCAGCTGAACTACTTCCATTCAGGGTGGGTGGATTGCTTGAGTATAAGGTATAGATGCCCTTGACGACAAGGAGGCCTGGGAGCTCCTACTGGACACCAGAGGCTTCACCATTGTAGACATTAAGGGCTCTGTTTAGGTACACACACATAAATATGCAATACCCAAGACATTCATAATAACTGGCAATGCAACACAGTAAGAAAAAGAGACCTGTGTGCTCCTGGGGCAGCAGTGGGTAACCAAGCTGGATAACCCAGTTCAACTCAAATGGCAAGAGGTGCTTGTGTTTGGGCAACTGAATCGAGCCACTGAAGCTGGGTGTTTAGATCCAGAATGGAATTTCACCTTTATTCTAGGAACTATGGAAATAACTTTATTTTTCTTCAGTACCCCACACGTGAAAGATCTCACCAAAGGCACTTCTATGGGCTTCTGCCTCCGTGCTACAGTGGACAACAGCAACACACACAGGCATTGGCACTTCAGTTCTTTCCATAGGCAAAGTTTGTCCTGAGAGATTTTACCACCCTGGGATTTCTGTGTTGGTTTTGGTGGCAGCATAACAATCCATCACTTTTTTTGGTGTCATAACTCACAAGGTCATGAGTCAGGGAAGTTGTGGAATTAATGAAACTGCAAAACTAAAGCTTAGGTATGACTGGTGAGCAATTTAAACTCCTGATGATTGTCTGGAGTACCTTGTATCAGATATATGGAAGTATGGCTGGAAAATGCTATGATGTCATGGACCTGTTTCTCCTGTAACACCTGGACAAGACCGGGCTGGGAATCACTGTTCTCCTTGCAGGCAGGAGAGGGCAGTAGTAGCACACACATTGACCCATCTGTCCCTGTTACTAGACACCGACTGCAGTAGGATGTGGCCTTTGTATTATCGACAGATCTCTCTGCTCAATTTGCTGGTGCTTTTAACTGAAAGGATGGGGAAAAAAGTAATTTTGTTCCTTACAATTGCAGGATAACCACCTACAAGCCCAAAGTTCATGGTGGTGAGGGGTAATGAGGGCCCATGACTCTCCATCTCAGCACTAAAGAGGGTGAGAAAGCAGGTATGGAGTGGTGAGAAAGGGTAGTGAGACTCTTGGGTGCCCCTCAACCTGACAGCCTTTGGGGACAGGACATAACAGTGACCCACTGATTATTACAACCCACAGCAATGTGATCTCTCACTAGAGCAAGGAAAAAGTGTGGAGGATTTGTATCATTATGGTTGAGTGGTGGTTCATAGATGGGTCAAATCCTTCAGCTGGGGCAACTTGCAGTCTTAAGTCTTGTTGAGGCTGTGCTGCCCAGCAGTACAATCAACTCTTGCACACTTAGAGGGCAGGTTTTTAGTGGGCTACACAGAAATGGGGAGACACAACTTCCTGGTTCTTGCCAGCTGGTTTGTTCTCACGCCTCTGAAACCCCTTGAGCCCTTATAACAAATGTCAATGGAGGTCAGAATGAGATCATATTCCAATTATATTATTCCTTTTAGTGTACAAACAAATTAGGAACATGATATGTGAGGTGTCTCACAGCCTTCACTACCAGAAAATGCCCCCCTGAGTCATGTGGAGATCGTTTTATCACCCCAGGAAAGGATCACACAGATTTGCAAGCCCAGGATGTTTTGGTGCATCTGTGTCTGGATCATCTTCAGGGCAAAGAGCTCCGGGTACAAAGGGATACATCAAGGCCAGGAGTCTTGGCAAAGCAGAAGGACATTGGGATACAGAGGACAACCTTGCTGCTGGTCAGCCCTCTTCCCTACTACAGGGTGATTCCTCTCTGCTGGATGTATCACAATCTGGATGATTTCCAAACATTTCCAGCACTGAGGTGATGATTTGAGGGCTTGGATTTCTGGCCTCAGCTCTGCTGCAGCCTCACATGTAACACTGCAGCAAACACAGGGAGAGCGTGAATGTGTTCAAGGTTACCCCATGTGGTCATACCACACACCTAGGGTAGGTCTACACTGTTCCATGCAGGCTATTTATCCCTGTTTCCCATGGCTCACGAAGGCTAATTCCTCCCTCATCAAGGCTAATTAACCTAGAAGAAATGTTATCCTAACATGTTGTTACTGCTCCAGGGAGGCGAGTGGCTTGTTTAGAGTGATGTCTGGTGTCTCTTTGTGTCTTTAATGTCTTTAGCAAAGCTCCCCTGCTGTTGTACATTGTTCCAGTGCCTTTGACTTCAGGGGAACTCTTGCAATTTCCATCCAGAGAGGATCTATCCCTCTAAAAACCACCACTCCCTCGGTAGACTAATGATAATTATCTGAGGGTAACCAGTACTTCGGTAGGAGCTTAGATCTCGTGCTCACATGCAAACAGGAGACAAAGCCTGTCTCTGTCCTACAGATCTTACCGTGTAATAATATCCCCTCCTTTCATCTAAACCAAAGCATCTGAGAAGTTGTACGTGCCCCCTCAACCACAGGCAACAAGAGCACAGCCACCAAACCCTCCCTGTAGTAAATAAGGTCCCTCTTTCAGCATCTCTGGAGAGGGTTGCTCTCACTCCATCACTGAGCACTGTTGTGATAGCAGTCACCACACTCCCAGCTCCATACTCCCACTCCTCCCTCCTCCAGCCCCCAGATCCAACATGGAGAAGTGACAGACAGATTTCTTTTCTCGTTCCCCCTCCTTACTTTGTCGCTAGGATCATCTTTTTCCTCGCTGTCTGCTCTTTCTGTTCCATGTGCTGCCTGGCAATGTGCTCTCCCACCGCCTTGGCAGGGAACTCTGTTTCACAGGTGTAGCCGAAATCTCTGGCCAAATGTAGTGCTTCCCCTGTGGCCAAACAAAAGGGGTCAGTCAGTTTTTAGGGTTATTTTTATTATTACTATTATTATTGTTACAGATTTACTTCGCTCTTTAAACAAACAAACCAACAATAGCAAATCACTTCTGCAGACAGCCATTTTCAACTCAGTTACACATTTCAGCCCATTTAGTCTGTTCATGCTTAGTCATCAGATGGTGCCAGCCAGAATATAGGAGGGATATTCCTCTTATGAGAAGGAAGGATATTACTTTCATCAGAAAATACTAGCCAAGACACTTATGTTTAGCTCCCTCCCTTCCCACCAGTGAGTAGTGGGCAACTGCTCCAGTTTTGTAAGGCCAGTTCATCATTGATATTTAAGGTATGGAAAGGATTGGGAGGTAGGAATAAACAACTCTGAAGAGCTGAGTCAGCCTTTGGTGCTTCACTTCCCTATGTCTAATGGAACTATGGCCCTCTGCACCAGGAGAGAGCCATGGAGGTAACGTACATATATTTGCTTAGGGGTTGAGACAACGGGACAATACTAGGGCCCCACACTAAAGATCAGTAGAACCCAGAGTAGAATACAAGAAATGAACCTGTTTCCAAAAGATTGGAAGCAAAATAGACCAGGCAAAACAAACAGGGAGGACAATGCAGAAGACAGTTGCTATTTTATAGGCGGTTAAATCAAGGGAAAAGAAGTACCTGGCTCCATTAGGCTCTGTGAGAAGTCTGTGACACTGAGCATCTCTCTAGCTCACTACAGAGACTGGGGCACCATAACCCAGCTCCATGCTGGCTGCCAAATACCTCTGGAAGAACCTGACTCCCTTTACTACCTTAGAGAACCCAGAACTTTATTTTAGGGTTTACTGAACACTCTGACCTGCATGCTGGGAGTCTGACAACCCTGGTGTGGGATTTATCTGATCAAAAGCAGCTGCCTGGATTGTGAACATCTGTGCCTAAATTAGTCTTTCCCTGGTGGGAAATAGGCACTTCCAGATGACACTTGCTCTCATCTCATTGAATAAGAAGAAATAGGTCAGCTACCAGAAGCATATGCTGAAGCACATCTGCATGAGTGACTAACAGAGGTGTGCTCCAGAACAGATCTGGAGTTCAGGTGTTGTGGGGGTTTATCCTATTTTTATTTTTTTCAGAGTTGTGTGTTTGATTGCCATCAGGAGAAGTGGTATTGGACCCTGGCTCTTTGAAGATCATGTTGATGCTCCAGGTGAGCAGTTTGGAGGGATGAAGGACCTGTAACTCCTCCCTTTGAGAACATATGAAATTCATCTGATTAACTGTAAGTATTGATGTCTGACCTTATACCTCCAACTCAATGGAGACAAACTAGCACTTGAAGCATGTATAGTCCTATACTAGAATAGAAGGCAAAAGGGAATCACAGGAATTATGGAAGAGTCTAGATTAGAAGGGAACTCAGGAGATCACCTTCTACTGGAAGCATGGCTTAGATTAGGTTATTAATTTTCAAGCCTAGTCTGGAATATTTCCAACTATGGAGATTCCACAGCTTTTCTGAGCAACCTAATCAAGTGTTTAATTATTAATTTAATTTAATCATTAATTCCCCAGTGCTGATTTCTCCCTGTTTGCTACAATCTGACATGAAAGGACAGATAGAACTGCACTGGAGATGGTGAGGTGAATCCCATCCCCAGCAAGGCTGGGTGTGCTCTGCACAGACCTGGCCAAGACAAGGAAGAGGAGAACTTCCATGGAAACAGTGGTTCTGTGCCAGGGACAGCATCAGAAATAAGGAACCACATTCACTGACCTTTATTCCAACTCCATTTTCCCCTTTCCAGATTTTGTTGTCTCCCGTTCTACCACTGGAGTTTTTAAGAGAAAAACACCTTTTGATTCCACAAACCAACACTTTGCTGTGTGTTTATCTGACCCAGCTGAATTCAGGTAGTAGCAAAATACCTGCACCGCTCCCAGGCAACCTGTTTGCTGATCTCAACCAACAACAACCTTTGCAGCTGTAACCAACTCTACAGCAAAAAATGAAGATTATAATCAAAATCATCTGCTTCATTTGGATTTTTTTAAACATGATTTCCAGCATGCCTAAAAAGAATAAGTTAACAAGCAACCACTCTCACTGAGTTGAAAGCAGAAATGGTTTCCATTTAGTTTACAGCTTCTAGAAAAGTAATTTTCAGTGAAAACAAAATGGACTTCAGTGATATGTTAAAAGTGAATCAGAATGAACAGACATAGAGCTGACTGCCACCTTGGTGTTTAAAACATGTCCCAGACTTCTTCACAGATGAGAAAGAATACAAATTCAAGCCGTAGCTATTAAATTCCTGTAGAGGTGCTTCAAAATTTCTATTTCAGCTCTGCTTTTACTCTTACTAAAATAAAGACTTGAAGAGTAAATCAATTGCAGAAGAGCACCAGGTTTTTGTTTTCAACCAAATTCCATGAAAATACTTGATAGGTTTCTCTTCCTTCCAGCATGGAAGGAAGATAAAGTCAAATCCTTTTGGAACTGTCATCAGGTGGAATTACAATTCTCCAGACAGCTCTATTGTGGTCCCAGTCACACCCAGTAACAACACATGGAATGTAGACAGCAAAGAATTTAAATATTTAGCCATTGGAAAAATCTTAGTTTCTTCTAGAGAGCAAAACTTCATGTGATGAAATGGAGGCATTTATTTAACACAATCAACAGCAAAGTGATTTAAATTTGTATGTTTTCATTTACTGTTAAAAAAGGGGAAAGAAAATGTGAATTGTCATTCAAACATATTTACAAAGATGGTTTATATTATTTAGTAGAGATGAGAAAATTATACTAAACCATTCTGATGATCTGAGAAAATTATTCAAAAGTATGAAATTTGTCTGCAGCAGGGATTGTGATTGAATGCTAATGGTATATGAAGAGATAAAATCATGAAGAAAAAGAAACAAACCCACTAATCTGCCGTGGATATATACAGGTAAAAATGTAGATACAAATATAGCGCTTATTTTGGTGAAATAATAATTAAAAATATTTTAAATAGAAATTAAAAATATTTTTAATGGAAATAGATAGCTGATGTATGCCACAAATATACATTAGAGCTGTGTATATTTATTTATATAAGCATGCACTTCTTTATACCATAAGGAGTAGATATCCTAAATTACATCTTTAAATTCTAAATAAAAAAATAAAAATAAAAATTTGGACACTCTGCAGAACACGACTAATCATACCTCTGTGTTGAGCAAAGATGAAATTTTGAACCAGAACCCAATGATGACTTGATATTTAGAAGTGGATTGTGATATTTTTTTGTGACTGAAGGTCCCTTGGATTACTGTATAGTAGGGTATAAATCTACTTGGTGGAGGAAAGCAAATTACCATAGAATATATTCTTTCTTTTTCTACATCATAATTTGGACAAACATTTATTTTAGGGGAGAATGTGCAAATGTTGGAAATGTGGATGAACTGACCTCTTTTGCTTTAGATTTGCCTTCTTCTGCCTCGTTATTGACATCAGCGTAGGAGTCACACTAAAGGTAGAAACCTCTAAAATCCTTACTTTTACAGTTAGTTGCCTGATTTCAATCTAAAAATCCAATCTAAAATCAAATTCCCCTGTGTGTGACATCCCCAGCTCTTCCTCCCTGGAGAGACAAAGCACTTGGGGATCGTGGACTCTCCTTAAACCCAGCACTCGGCTTTGCAGCTCCCGGCAGCGCTGCCTCTGCCCTGCAGTTTGACAACTGACCCGAGAGCTTTCCATGATGGAAAGGGACAGTTGCTGGAGCAGAACCGGCAGAGACAGCTCTGGAAACCCTCAGCGGAGAGACCAGACGAGTACCTTGAAATGTTTCTGTGGGCAGGTGCAAGGAGCAGCGTGAGGGTCCCCTGGGTCCTGCAAGAGTGAGAGATGCTCCTATGCGGAGTGAAGGCAGGAGCTGTGTCCCGGGAGGGGGACACGGCGTCTGAACCTCCCACTCTCCGCTCGGCTTTGCCTCCTCCGGATGCTCTACCCAGCAGAAACGTTACTCAGGGGGAGGAGGGACAGGCGGGAGGTGGAAGGAAAGTTTATTCTATTTGTAGGGTGAGAAGGGAGGAGGAACAAGTGGAAGGGTATTTAAACAAAGGCTGGTGGGCGAGAAGCTGTGACAGTTGAGAGCAGGATGAAAAAAGTAACCACTGACCTATTTTTCTCCAGAGTTTTGGTCCCCAAATGAGGAATGCCATTAATTCTGTGTCTTGGAAATTTAGTGTCTTAATTAGGTTTGACAGGAAAACAAACTATAGATATTTTCGTAAGTTATTATAATTTTTTTATTATTATTATTTTTATCTGATGGCTTTTAAATCATTCATGCATTGCTTTTACCTGCATCTGCAATCACATTTATGCTATGTCTCTGCCTTAGAAGTGACGTGTCCAAAGAGAAGGGGACATCTCTCCTCTTTTCGCATCCTCCTTACTGCCATTGGAGTGGCTTTTGACTCTTTTGAGCCAGCAGTAAGGCTTAGCCTTGACAATACTAGTATTTAGTGAAGGAGCCTTTATTGCATTAGCCAAGATGTAGGAATGTTCCTTTTGGAGCTGGTAAGAAAAATGACCTTTCCCTGCATCTAATCCAGGCACTAGAGGGCATCCCTCGCCTACAGGTTGCACAAGGATTTGTCCCATTCTGCTGAGGAGAGTCCTGCAATACTGACTTCATTCTCCCTGTCCATCTTCCCACCCATTGTACTAATTCATTGGGATGACAAAAGGAGCAGAGCTGATCTGTCAAACAATTCCTACTTTGGGGTCCACAAGTCCCTACCAAAGACACTAAAGATACAACCTGAGCAAAACAAGAATAACAGTAAACATCCAGCAGCAATGCTGAACTCCAAAATGAATACATTTGCAGAAAACAGAAGGACACAAATTCGTATTCATAAAGTCACTTAGCAGTATTCCCCAAAAATCAATTATTTTAGTCTGTTTTAGAGGAAAAGAAATATTAGTCATGCCAGAGACTTTTGAGATGGTTTTGGTCAATATACCTATTCACCATACAACTAATTTTGTCTTTTCTAACATCAAACAGATATTTGAGGTTGAGCACACTCCCACCTTTCAGAGATATTAAAGGCCTTAATATACTGAAGACTGAAGACATTTAATAATAATAAATTTAGAACCATCTAAAGTAATCAAGAGTGACACAATCTTGCATCTGTATGAGATGTTCACACAGTCTAGGATTTAATAAGACTAATAAGTTATTATTTCAATTTCTGTATTGAAATCACACAGAAAAAGCTAATGATGCTTTCTTTATGGGTTCTCTAAACCACAGAATAAGCCTCTGTCCTTCCATTTCCGCCTCTTCCAGCAGCAGGAACCATTGAGGGATGGGTTTCTTTGCAAAAACTGTGATATAATTTAGTTATCCCTGGAAGGAGTATCGGCATGACCAGAGGGAAACAGCTTATACAACCAAGAATTCAATAAGCACTGCCAAGTTTGACCCATGATTGGTTACACAAACAGAAAATGAACTTTGTTTTGTTTTCTGTTGGAATATAAACACACATGTTGGTGCCATTCTCAAAAATTCCAGTAGATAAAATTCATTATTAGCTTATCCAGGCAAAAAGGTCTCTGTCCAAGTGAGCTCAGCCATCTCAGTATTTATCTTTAAGACTTGCAGTAAGGCAGCCCAAGAACAAAAGCGACACCACAGGCTCGATAACAGGTTTGCTACTGGCTTTGATTAAAGGACAGGGAGGGGAGCACAGCTCCATTCCTGGGAAAGAGGAATTCAGTCCTGACTTACAGTAAAGGAACTTTGCCACCAATCCCAGGCCAGCAGCTGGAAGAGAGCTACCTCACCTTCAGTCTCTTCTGATGAATAACTGGCCACGGAATCATAGAATGGTTTGGGTTGGAAGGGACCCTAAAGACCATCTAGTTCCAACCCCCTTCCACTCTCCCAGGTTGCTCTAAGCCCCATCCAATCTGGCCTTAAACGGTTCCTAGGGTGGGACAGTCACTGCTTCTCCAGGCAAACTGTGCCAGGGCCTCACCACACTCACAGTAAAGAATTCCTTCCTAATTTCCAAATCTACCCTCTTTCAGCTTAAAGTCATTGCTCTGTTCACTAATAAAAGTCATAGCTGTGTTTATTCTTTCCTGACCCGAGATGCCTGAAGGACTGTGAGGGTCAGAACAGCCCTCGCTCCTCTATCCTGGTACCTTTTCTAAGATTGTAAATCCATTATGGCTTTCCCTTTGTTACACGCAGGTGTGATATGGACACACCTGTATTTCCAAGAAGCCCCATTGTAGTTCTTTGTGCTCAGTGGCCCCTGAAAACTCAGTCCCTTGTCAGAGACACTGAAAAACCTCCAGTGTTGAGGATTCAACACTATTTCTGCCTTGAAGGGTCTCCATCCTTTGAGATAACAAAAAGACTCAGTAGACAAGGTCCTGAACAACCTCTTCTAACTGACCCTGCTTTGAGCAGGAGGACTGGACTAGGAGATGACCAGGAGTTCCTTCCAACTTCAACCTTTAATTAATTCTCTAATTCTGTGGTAGTATGTGCTGAGACTTCAGCCTACTTGCCCAGATCTGTATGGACCTTTCAGGGTATGATTGTAGAAGGCATTGACCTTTAGGATGAGTTGAGTTCTCTCAACATCAAGAAGGAGGGATCTGAAATTCCCAGAGCTGCTACTTGCAGCCAAACAACAAACTGGATACTTAGTGGATTCACCCAGAATAGAAGAGGTGCAGGTAGAGTTTCTTCCCTTTGCCTGAGGGGTTTGAACCTGCATCTCCCAGCTGGAGGTTTGAAGAGCCTGACAGTATTTGGTGAATGGTATTTAAACAACAAATAAAGGCCAAGAAAGTATCTCCTGGGCCTGTCTAGAGTTTATCTGAAAACAGATTTCATTCATTTGTGTGTGGGGGGGAAAGGCTTGTCTAAATATTGTGCTTTCTTATGAGAGGAAAAAAAATCATCACATTTCTGGATCAGCTCCAGGAAATTCACAAGTTTAAAAAAAAAAACAACAGAGGATAAACAAACCTACTTATAGAGTTGGTATAAGACATTCATCTCTCTCACAAAAACATTTGAATCATCGATTTGTAAGTCAGATCCCAGCACAAAAAACACAGATCAATGCTGAGGAAACTGCAAGACCAAGACACTTGCTGGGGGCCAAGATATCTCAGACTGAACTTCCATTTTGTCACTCATTCTGTCTGTGGCTTTAGGCAAGTCAGTTCTCCTCTGTATACAAAATACAGATTATGGGATTTAACACAGTGGCCGAAAAGAGTTGGATACAATGAAGCATTTAAATTATAGTTATACTGTATTACAACCTAAGAAACCTTACCTTCTACCAAAGAAGTCAAGAGCGTGACATTTGCTGCTTTTCTTCTTCCTGCAGGCAAATTCAGTCCCAGTCTGTCTAATTTTTCTCTCAAGCAGCGTCCTCCATTCTTAGATTTCGCTCTATCATGAGAGAATAGCAGGAAAGAGAGACACTTCTCATTATTCTGCACCTTTTTCCTATGTTAATATAATTTCAAAAATTGTACACCCTTTGTTGATAAATGTGTGGGGTAATGCCTGTGACAGTGATATCGGTGAAAAATGTTTCAGAGCTGTATTCTTAATGTCCTGCGTGCCCTGTGTGAGCCTTTGACGTTGGTTCTTTGACAGAGTTAAACATTTTAATGCCTGTCATGGGGGCATCAAATCTTCAGATAGCTTTCCACCTGGTGGAGTTCAGTATCCTGATTTGGGCACAGAGCCTGGGATTACAATAACTAAATATAAATATTGACAGTGAAAACACTCGTATCTGATTTAGTCAAGCCAGGTTTCAAAGACAAACTAGAGAGAATCATGACCTTCTAGAATTACATTAAACAGACATCCAGCATGAGTGGACTTTACTCATCTGGCTCATCTGACCATTAAAGGAAGACAGAGAGCTACTTAAATGTAGATGTCTGTGTGGAACCCACATCTAACTGTCCCTCAAAAATTTATGTAGAGACTTAGATACTTAAAAATGTTATCTACAAAGCCCAAAATTTACAAGGAAAAAGGATAAGGCAACAGGAAATGCTGAAGCTAAAATCTCAGCCATCATTGGTTATTTATGCCCCTGTCCCAAACACCTGTCTTTGTTCTCACAAAGTGGTTCCTGGTGCATCCAGGTGCTGCTTTTCTGCAGCACCTCAGTGTTTGAAGCATTTGAGACATATTCACTTATGCAGCAGAAATAGGTACAATTTCTTCCTCAGCCTGAGGGAATTTTAACCTGTGTCTTTTACAGGATGCAGCAGCCAGCTGCCAGCAAATAACTGATGTTAAAATGCTTAAACAGTGAAGAAAGCAGTGACTGGAACCCAGATATCTCCCATCCCAAATGAATGACCTGTCCACAATAAGACTCATCGCCACAATTATACCTTTGCTTTTCTACAACAAATAATTAACCCCAAATGAGACTGAGGGGCCATCAGCTTAAAAAAACCAATTGCTGAGTATTTAGCACAACTAACCAGATGTTTTGAGGTGCAGGTTAAAGTTGCTTCAGGCAGAGGAAGGAACCAAACTTGGAATGTCACCATTTGGATATATGTTATTACCCATTAAGAAATACCACAACTCTGGCCATGTCAGAGATGTCTTCTGAGAAGACTTTTTTCTGAAGAACATTTTATTCTGAAGGCAAGCTATTTAGGAAAATATGTAGCCAGTTGCTGCTGACAGAATGCAAAATCAGCCCTACCAGGTCTCAGGCAAAAACCATCAGTGAGATTTGGTTTTGCTATATCTCTGCTGGTCAAACACAGGGTGTTTGAGCCTGTTCTTTAACTGTGAAACCCTCAATTATAACCTGACCAAATCTGTTCAATTATACTCTCTGCTTCATAAAACAGAATTAGCACATCCAAACTACTGGCTGGGACTGGTCCCTGCCTTTTGCTAACTCCTGAACAATGGCCAGGATTGATTTGGAAGAGGGGATATTTAGTTTGGGTCAAAAAGTTATGGGAAATATTCTAGCATTTTAACAGAAGAGAGAAATGAACCCCCGCGTTCAAATTGATGTCCTTGAATTCTCAGTAGCTTGCAGTATAGTAGTGAGGTCTGCAGTGTGAGTATTTAAAGTGAATATTCACTGGAGGTTTCTCCAGTGTGAAACAAAAAGAGAGGAAAGTTTTGGTGGATGTCGATTTTGAATTTCAGTGCCTACAGAGGCCTTTAAATGGGGCTTGTGCCCTGAAAAAATGTTGTGATCTATAGTCATTATTCTCCAAGATGGCTCGAGACAGCTCCTGAATGCCCACATCTCTCAGAATACTGCAGGTTGGTTAAAATGACTTTCAGTATAAGTGCGAGGATCAGTGTGGCCCTCAGTGACAGCAGTGAAATAGCCCATGACTTTCCAGCTAGTTTTGATCAAAGGGTATTCAAGTAGCTCATGCCATCTGAGCTGACGCCTCGGGGACACCGCGACTCAGATATGCCGGCCTGAATTACAGCTGCCTCCTTGTTTTCCACTTGCAATGTGAGGCACAGTCTGCCTCTCTCCTCATTTCTCTCCTGCTCTCTGCAGGTGTCTGCTCTGGTCAGCCAAGGGTCAGAGGCAAAACTGCACCTAATTACTTGCTTCTCCTCCAGTATCTCACCACGAGAAAAGTCAAACCAGCTTATTCTATCTTTTCTGTGCTCAAAAGATACACCAAGGAGAAGGGACGAAAAAAGGCATCCTTACACCTCCATATTTTAGGTTTTAATTAAATGAGGGCTGTACCTACACTTGGTAAAACAATTTGCTTTGAGGTGGTTTCTCAGCAAGAAGTCAGATTTGTAGCTCTGGTGAAATTTTCCATACATTTTTCTGCACATTAAAGCTCTCTCTTTTTTTTTTTTTTCATTCAAAACAAGGCAAAGTGACACCTTTCCATGTCTGTGAACAACTGAACTGAGGGGGTAAAAAAAAATCAGTTTGATGAAAAATTTAAACTTTCTAATTTACGGAAAACTTCCCAGTGTTCCCTCCCAATCCATCCCCTCCTGTTCACCCCAAATACTACAACCTATCCAAGCAGGGAAAGAGAAAAAAGCCTCATTGTAGAAAATAAAATTACAGAAATGACAGCGCTGTCTAGGACTTGCTACTCTCACCTTCAACTTACCTTCTCAAAATCCCTCCCAGGAGGGAGGCGTTGAGGCATTCTGGGGGTGAAAGGCGCCTCTTCACCTCTGCAATGGTCACTTTGTACTTGGAAGTGGAGCTGAGGAGAGACAAGCGACCGGGGACAGAGCAGAACAGGTCTGTGGGGTTCACAACACAAGTGCCACCTACAAAAAAAAAAAAAAATATTAGAGCAGAGGAAACCTCATATTCCGTGTTTTGGTAAATGCAGTCATGAAGAACAATTCTGTTGTTTACTTGTGGTTGGTTTTGTTTGGGTTTGGTTTCTCTTAGGGGGTGTGAGATTTGGTTTTTTATAGTGTTTGTTGTTTGGTTTTTTATAGTATTGTTGTTTTGAGAAAGATGAATGAGTTGATATTTCAGAGTGGGAAGAGTGAATTGTTAAATCTCACAAACTTTTAAGTCAAAGTATGTAATTATGGCTATTTGATATGATTTGATTTCATGTTCAGTAAAAAGTACCTATTATCACTAAGGTCTATTCTATCTAGTAGGATTAACAAAACCAGACTGAACCATATTTAAATATCACTCATGGTTTTAAAAAACACGGTTGGTGAAAAATTTAGAACGTTGGTTTTAATGAGAAATGTTAATTTTAATTCTCACAGCAGTATTTAAGATTATGAAGATACAAGAACACTGTAGGTTTGCAGTGATTTGCAGCAAGAACAGCTTTGCACACCTTTGAACTCTCATAAATTCCTTCCAAAGTTAGGTCAAATCCTCAGCTGATATTAACGATTGAAATCTATTGAGCTACATCAGTTTATCTCAGGTTAGTTCTGGAATTGTTTATTTCTTGAGAGTGGCAATTACTTGGCCTGGGTCTAAAAGTGCTGAATGATCACCAAATCTTTCAGTCAAGACTGTGATCAATAACTCCTCAGGCAAAACTGAGCTTTTAACTTAAAGTTAATATGAGAGAGAGAGAGAAAGAGAGAGGGGGGGAGAGAGAGAACTTTCTCTGCAACTGATCCAAGAGAGTAGAACAAACTCCCAGGGAAAACGAAATAATCTTAAGAACTAACACATATTTCATCACCAAGTGCAAAACACTTTTCTTTGACCTGCCTTCTCCAACCTGACTACAATAAAAAATTCTGTGGAAGAAATAAATTTTACCACTGCATGCACAATTCTTCTCTGGGGAAAAGATGAGAAAAAAAGAATGAGCTGCATATGACAGTGATATAAAATATCATATAATTCAGTGCACTACTACAAGGACTTCAGGTGCTTTATGTGAGAATGGTGATATAGAGACCTTCTTAGAGCAAAATTAATCTGTGCTCATCATTCATGTTTAAAAGAAACATACTGTATTTTTTACGCTACCATGATATTTTCCTCTTTCCTGCAAACACCTTAATCTTTTTTCACTATAAGAGCTCACATTTTTATGCTTAAAAATTTTGGTTTATAATCCAAATTATGTAATGAGAATAGAATAGAACAGAAAAAAGAAAGAAAAGAAAAAAGATCACTTTAGACAAGATCCTACACCTTTATCTTCTTCCACATGCAGTTCCTCCTAAAATTAAGGTGACTCTGTTCCACTTCCCATAGAGACAGACTGAAGGATGAAACTTCATTAAAAGCAGACTATTGCTTGCTTACATAAGGCAAACAGAATTTCTTTCCAAATATTTCAGCTCTTGAAGGTATATTTAAACATTTGTGCTGACAGCAACACTAGAAAAGAACATCTCTTGGTATCAATCCCAGATGGATGAGATCCTGACTCACTACAGCAGGGTATTTTATGACTTTTCTAATTATGTCACAGGGCAGATATTAGTGTCCACTTCTCAAACAGGGTATAGAGACAAATCGTGCATCACCAAACATATACACACATCAAGGGCACTGATGCACATTTTTACACAGCTCAAAGCTGCAACTAATGAGCTCATATGCTCAAATACAGAAATCTGGTGCCACATGCCTGAAATAATTTTGAGTTTGTGTTGTTCTGGTGGTTTTTTGGGGGGGGTGGGGAGTGGATTTTTTTTTCCCCAGAAACCTGTAAATATTTTCAAGCAACGGTTTCAAACTTCTGGTCTGTCAGGTACATTTGTGAAGAGCGTTAACACTGAGTAGATCTGTTTGTTTGGCATCTGCCACACAATACATGTACACACGTGTATATATATATGTGTCAAGAAAACAGTGGCACTGTGTACATATTTGTTTACTTCAGGAAGTCTGTAGATTTTACAATGAGTGAGACTGTACTGAAATCAGTGTCATATTAAAGTTTATCTTCTTGCCAGGTTAAGCCAGTATGTGCACTCTTTATGCCAGATAAATAATTGTTTCTTTAATCCAAAAACCTGTTACCCTGCAGCTGCTTCTACCTTAACCAGAATTTACTGGAACACTTCTCTTTTATATTTAGTAGAAAGTTGCTTACAGTTTGAAATATTTTAAAAAATCATGCCTGAGCAACGTGACCTCAAACAAAGCAATTCCAGGTAAGCCAGGTGTGGGTTAAAACTAAAAGAAAACAACAAGTCCAGGCCATTTGCTTTCCAGAAACACGGAAAACAAGTTGTAAATCACAAGAAGGCAAAATCTATTGCATATAATTATTTCACTGTATTAATTATTCATTGACACAGCAACAGAGAGTGGTGTGATGCTTTCTAGACGAAGCTCTTTGTCACAAACTGTGTGTGTTTTTGAAGACACAAATATCTTACTACAAACTCCACCTTGAAGAGGATATGGATGAAGTCCTGGCCTTTACACCACGTAGTAAACAGAAAAAGGCACGTAGGGCTGATGGAAAGAAAAAGGAAAGGAGAAGGGCAACCACACAGGCAGATGAAGGATTAGGTTTCTTGCTAAACACACATGCTCTGGTGTATTCCTTCCCCCATATTCTGATCACGTGTTAGAGTGCAAAAATGATTTTCTGAAGCAGTGCAGCTCAACATGAAGATGACGAGATATGTTTGAAGTTACACTAAACAGCAGTGGCAACGACCAGCTTTTTTTCCTGTCAACCCAGTGCCACTGTAGGTGCTGTTGGAAAAATCAATTCTCATTTAATTATTGAGCCAGTCTTGTCCCATCAGGGTATTTGAGTGGTGGGATGCTAACAGACACAAGCCAAAGAAGCAGAAGAAACTGTCCTCACAAATAGAATGGAAATAATGTCTTTTGTGAGTCTAGAAGTTCAACCCGGAGATCTCTATTCCTCTTAGCAGCTTTTACTGGCTTTAAAAATCTTTACAGACTAACTTCTGGTGCCAGGATACATAAAACCCCCTCAGCTCATAAAAGGAAGAGCCACACAGACACAAACAGCAAAGTAATGTGCCCACCAGCATATACGGAGAAGGGAAAACTGTGGCCACTGCTCCCTGACTGGTTACCCACAGCACTGGTCCTATGGCAAAGCTGGGAGAAAGAAATTAGAGCAGGCAGACAGAGGGATAACTGGTAAGATCATCCAGCAAATTGCCTCAGCAATTTTGTGCTCTGAGTACCACATGAAATAGGCCTGTGAATGTTAAGAAGACTCTTTTAAGGACAATTGTTTATTCCCGTAGGGAAGTGATTACATGGTCTGGTCTGACTTCATCTGTTGCCATAACATACTGTGTTAGAGATGACTGTAAATGGTGATGGTTGTGCTCTTACAGCCACAGAGGCCTGAAAACACAGGAAAGACAAGATTTAGATGGAGAATATATTTTATATTGCAACTGATAGATTAGGAAAAAAAAAAGAAAGAAGGGAAGCTTTCAGGCACAAACCCTTCGTTTGAGCTCCTTTCATCCAATTCTACTCAATTAATTCTTTCTTCACGACAGAGTTTTACCCTCTAATCTTTCATCTTCATGTTGATTTTTATAAATATGATTGATCTCAAGGAAAAAGATAGATGAGGAAGAGATATGCTTTGTGCAGCCTACCACATCAGGGTGAAAGACCATGTACTGCCATGTACTGAATCACCAAATCACCTCAGGGGATCATATATAACCTGATCTAGTTGAAGATATTCCTATTACAGGGTGTTGGACTAGATGACCTTTAAAGGTCCCTTCTAACCCAAAATATTCTGTGATTCTAACCTATGATTATTTTCAAAGGGATCCGAGGGAGAGGAATAACAAAAGACTAAGTTCATAATTGCTGGATAACTTTTGGGGCCCAATCCTTTTCCCTCTGACTGTTTAATGCTCAACACAACAAACTCCTTCCTGTGAACTGCACTTTGGCTTTGTTTCCCAAGGCTAGAATAAGCAAAAGTTAGACCATGTGATACCGAAAAAGGTAGTCAGAGCAAACATTGGGAGAGTATTTTCCCTTCCCTATTCCTGTCTCCCCATCAAATAGCACGTCAGTACAAAGTGCCCACACGAGCTGATGATGGGTTGTGTAGGTGGCAGCAGTGAGAACAACGGAGCCAAATTCTAACCCCACAGTCTTGTCAACACAATGAAAATCCCAATAACCCACAAATCAAAGAGAGCTCGGGCTGTTTTAGTTGCAGGTTCCCTTTGTGTGGATGAAGAGGACAACAGGGTGGCTGGAGAGTGGTGATTTATTCTGATTTACTTATGCACTTGGGCACCTGCTGAAATGTAAGGCTCCCTGACACCCTCAGAGTTAAATATCTGTGCATCCTTTCATTCATAAAACTCATATTCTGACGTATTTTTATGCTTTTCACAAACAATGTTTTTGTTTTATTTATAATGAGAGAAATATCAGTTGATGTCACTAGATGGTTTTTCAAATAGAAAATTTTTTAAAAATGTGTGTCTATAATTTTTTATAGATACATCCTTACACTCTGCAAAGTCATTTCTTATTTGTTAATCGTAACAGGCACAATATGATGAGTATTTTTATATTCATTCAATAGTAGCCCTTTTCTCCAAGATATTCACCTGTAAATATCATGCACTTATGTAAGGAAACATCATAATATACTGGTGACAACAGTGCAGAAGCACTGCTTATTTTGTTTTACAGGATATACATGTTTGTGTACTTGTGTACATTATTAAGTATAAGCACGGCTGAATGTCGACAGATTAATCTTATATAAAATATTAATAGCATGTTATGCTTTTTGTTAGTCTATTATTTATATCTACAGGTGTTGTTTGTGGGAGTCTTCAGT